AAATTTTATATAATTTCTTTTTCTGAAAGATTAAGATTTATCCCATTATCCTTTCTTTCATTGCATTGTGGAATATTAAAAAGTCAAATGGATATTTAAAAAAAAAAATGAAGGACACTTCTATAGTTATGTCTAAAAAATTCACAAAAGAATTCTTCTCCAAAGGATATTTTAAGTTTTTAATTATCTTAAAATTCAAATGTATTACTCAACAACCAATTCTAAATATTAAAAACTACTTACTTCAGCTATTGTTACTTTAGCTGCCTTGCACATTGGTGGATTAAAATTTGCAGCTGATTTTCTAAAACAAAATACAAACTTTTTATTAACAAAATTTATATAAACAAAAATTTAATACTGAAGATTTTCCAAATATTGATTACAAGAATTGTTATTTAAACTATAAAATAGGTAAGTTAAATATTCTATTTCCTTTATAAACTTACATTATGATTTTGTATATTTCTTTTAATTTTATTTTTATTTAAAAAAAGAAAGATTAATTGTTAGGTACTGTAGGAAAAATTTCACTTAGTTAAGATTCTCTGAGTGTAAACTTAAAACTGATCAACTATAACAATTCTTTTTGCTAAATAACAATACCGGCTACCACTTATCAAAATTTTTTATTTAAATTTATAAAATTAGATCTAGATATATCTATGATTATATTTCTTTATGCTATTATGTGAGGTTCCAGTGAGATGCAAACCCCTCACTAAAAATTTGTTTAAAAGCTTTCTACTTGGGAAAGGAATTTTTTAAGATAAACACAATTCAAAGAAAAAAAAAAAATAGGTGTAAGTGTCAAACAACCTGAGTTCATGTGTCAAACTGGGAAGATGAACTTTGGCTTGGGTGTTTGTAAATTACGGTAAACTTGAATGGCTATAAAATATTTTGATCAATAAATAATTATCGTGAGACTTTTTATAAAAATTTTTCACAAGAAATAATATGTAACATAGATGTAGTGAATGTTATATTATTTTATTAATTACATACAAAGCACGATATAAACAGTAGTCTCACTATGAAACTCTTTGGAAATAAAAATGAATCATTCTTCTACCCAAGGGTTGAGATCCTGACATTAAGTAACGCTTTTTAAGCACCCCACCTCCTTATAAAATCATTGTAACAGATATCTACATATCCACCCATATCTGTATTATGTAAATTATGTATAGTTCCTATGTTTATAAAACAAAGAATAATTTAAAATTAATTGTGTTGATTGGCTATGAAGAAGACAGCTACACTGTATAAATTTTTTATCCCAAATAACAATTTTAATTAAAAAATAATTTTCGTAATTCTTTAAAGTACATTTTAAAAAGCAAAATAGAATTGCACTGTAGACATATAACTACTATCAAAATAAATGCAGATTATGACAAACTTTTTAATAAAAATGTGATGTAAGCATTTTTATTTAAAAATATAATAACGAAAATGTTGTTATATTTTTTATTAAATACTTTGTTGTTGGAAATACTAAGGGGTTTGATTATTTTAAGCTGTAAGCATTCCAAATTGTTGATTAAAACTTCAAAATGAGAGAAATAATGGTGGAGACACTTGCAATTTGCTGATTGTCAGAATATAGATCACATGCCATAGATGAAACTTTGATTATGATTGGCTGTGTGTGACATTTATTGATATTTGGTTCCTCTACATATATGATACTATTACATAAGAAATCTATTATATATATATAATAGAAGTAAATTTTGGATCATGCTGTCTGATCCGATTCTGGATTTATGGTTTGTCAAAAAGAACACTATAATTCCTTGAACTCAGACTAAGTCCATATATTTTGCACTAACTGGATAGATAGATAAAAAAAATTCACACCTTTAAAAAAGTCCAGCAATGAATTTAATAAAATAATAACATTTTCGACCAGCTTCACCAATCTTCAGTTACAATAGAACAGAAAAATAGAATGTGAATACAAAAATTTAAAAACAAGAACAAGAATTCTAAAATAAATAAATAAATAAATAAATAACAGCAGCCGTAGTTGAGATTAATAAAACAAATAAGTACAGAAATAAAATAAAAAGTAAAAATAAATGAATAAATATCACTGAATAAAATTAAATTTCATAAATGGACTGCCATTTTGTAGACAAGTTGTCCACATCTCTATGATGATGCAATAGGATTTTTTGTGAGTTTTATAAATTTCTAATTTTACCCATAGTGTGTATATTAGATGTAGGTCTGATGATGGTTGTCTGCTTCTATCATACTTGTATGTCTTGATATTGCGAGTAAACTACCAGCATCATATTATTGAGATTTTTATCAATTGTGTACTTATTTCCTTGAGTCATTGTTGTAAATTATACATAGTGGCACCTACATAGACCAACTTTGATTTGAAATGTTGGTTAATTGTCAGGATGGAGTAAATCCCTGTGGTTGAATTACGGTTATATGATTTCTTATCATTCCTTAAAATTCTTTAGATCATCAGGTTGTGCCGATATACTATTGCAACATTAATAGCTCTGGCCTCTTTCAAAACCACTCTTTGTTTCTGGTCTACTGATGCTTGTTGACATTTTGATGTTTGAAGGTTGCGATCAATTTCTGTATTATTTTTATTGGATAACCCTGTTGCTCTGCGATTTTTAAGATGTAATTCAGCTCCATTATGGTGTCCTGGATGCTGGTGCAATGAGTATATACCCTTCTTATCAAGGATCTAAAGGCTGCAAATTTGATGTGCCAGGGATCAACAATGTTTTATGGAATTAAAATAGCTTGAAAACATGGTTTCCTAAGTGCCTTGGTCCAAATTTTGCCATATTTGCAAGAAATGGAAATGTCCAAAAAATTTACCATTGTTTCACTCTCCTGGTCTAATTGTAGGAGTAATCCATAGGGGTTATCATAGTACAGTAAGATCTTGCTTAACGTGGNATTCAGGGCTAGGCAGAACCAGAGAGGACTCAAGGAATCTCCTTGAGAAATTCCTCGCCTAATGAATATTTTGTTTGTTTGTATGGAAGTGTTACTAACCCTGAGATGTAGTGTTGCTCTCCAGTGCTGCATAGTGTTTTGGAAGAATGCAATGAGTGATGGATGTATTTTGTACGTGTGTAGAATATGTAGCAGCCAACTGTGTGGAACACTGTTGTTTGTTTGTTCTGTGTTGTTTGTGTGCTTGCCATAGAATGACTGAATCTATGAGTAACTGCTCTTTGCATCCTCTGTGATTTCTACGGCAACCTTTTTGTTGTTCTGTAAGAATGTCGTGTTCTTCAACATGTTTGTATATTTTGTTTGTGATACAGGATGTCAATAATTTGTAGAGTGTTGGAAGACATGTAATTGGTCTGTATTGTTTGGGGTCTGTGGTGTTGTTGTTTTTAGGTTTCATGTAGGTGATGCCCTGAGTAAGAAATTTTGGCATGTCTGTGGATTGATGATGATGTATGTTAGATATTTAGCTAGTTCCTGGTGCAGTGATGTAAACTTTTTGTACCAGAAATTGTGAATATTGTCTACACCAGGAGTCTTCCAGTTGTGTGTTTGTGTGTTCTGTTAACAGCGTAGCAAATGTCATGTACATTTATTTCAGCACAGGGCATAGTTGGTATGTTGTGCAAGTTTTTGTTCTCCTCCTCAATCCAACCTGCATCAACATTGTGTGTAACAGCACTGGACCAAAGAGAGGACAATAAGTTGTGAGTTCTTCTTCTGTTGGTATGCCACTGTGCTGTGTATCAATGTTTGTTTTGGTATTAATTTGTCTGTGAAAGAGTTTTTCATTGTTTATGAATAATTTATTTTGTTGTTTTCGTAGTGTACATGTTTTGTATTGTTTGAGTCTACGTGCTTTGGCTGCAAGTTTCTGTTTTAATGTATTGATGTATTCTGTAATGTGTGTGTTGTAACTTTCATGTTTTGTGTATGTTTTGATTTTCTTGAAAATGTTTTTGAGTTGTTTCTTTAATTTGGGTGTTATGTTGTTTTTAGTATATTTTGTCAGCTTGTCTAATTGCTGTTTAATATCATTTATTTGTGTTTCTATTCTTCTTTGCCAGGCAGGCTTGCGATAGAATTATTGTTATTGTTGTTTTTATTATATCTTTAAAGCCTGTCCAATTAAAGATGAGCTTTTGAAGATTATTTTTGATGAATGTTTAGTCAACCTTGTTGTTAATTAAGGCATGACTTGATAATTGTTAATGCTAGAGGGCTATAAACTCTTGCTTTTTTTAATCACTGCAAAGGGAATTCTGACAACCGAAATTAATTATTTACAAATAATTATTTACATTTTAAAAAGCAGCCATAACTTGGCTACTAAATATAATGTTTTGGCTTGTTTACACAACAGTATTACTTTCTGCCATTAATTAAATCAAAATGAAAGATCACATCATTACCATTTTAATTTATCAGCTTTCTTTTTAAACTCAATAGTGTAGAAATTTGTTTTATATAAAATAATGTGAGTTTCCTTTTTGAAATCTTTGATTCTTTCAATCCTGTAGGTCAGTGTTACTTAACAGGGGCCGCGGCCGGCTGGGGGTCCATAAGAAGTTTGCCAGGAGCTGCGAAATTATGCAAAATTTATGCATATTTGAGTGAAAAAGGGNACATATATATATCTATTTATTAAGCAAATATTTAAAATTTTTTTTATATGATATGCATTATTGGAGATCAAAATAATAAAAACAATTCATTAAACTCTAATACTTTAGAATTTCCAGCCAATCTTCAGGAGTGTTAATATACTAGTGACAGAAAAAGTGATTAATCAGATTATCTCTTCTTGAATTCCAAGGAAAGCAGATAGTTGCACATCTCAGAATTTGGAGAAATAATTTGTTACCAAAGACTATCATGTTATTAGGATTATCACAAAAATTTAGTTTGCTCCTTAATTAATGAAAATTAAATTATATTTGAATTATAATATTAAGATAATATTTGAAAATATGTTTTAAACAATTTTATTAACATACCTCTTTTTTTTCACTTGAAATACCAACACTTTTATCTGCATTATATTTAATTGGTGCACCACCTTTATGAATAATAGTTCCAAATGCTGTAGGAGTATAAAAAGCAGGTATACCTGCTCCACCAGCTCTAATTCTTTCTGCTAAAGTACCCTTGAAAATAAAATAATATTTGAAATTAAACTGAGAAATATATGGAAATTCCTGTTATCTATCACAGATAAAGATTATAGTGTAGCTGCTTTTCATATAAACAACGTTTTCTTTAAAATCAAAAAAAAAATCAATAACTATAAATAGAATTAAATTTTCTTAAATCTATTAAAATGACTAATCTCAAAATACAGAAGAAATTTGATTTAACATTTTTCAAGGAACCAATGAAAAAATATGCAACAATGTACAAATTCATGTGTATATGCATTCGGAATGGATAAGATTCAAGTAAATATGCTTCCATGAAAGCTTTTATTTCATACAATGTAATGTACAATGATTGATACCTCTAGACCAGTGGTTCCCAATTAGTGGTACGCGTATCCCTGGGGGTACGCAAAATTGCGTGAAGGGGTACGCGCGGCAATCTAAAATCGGTCGATTTAAAATTTAAATGCATGAGTTGAAGCAATCAAAAAAATAATGGGGGGACCATCAAAAATTTGGCAATTTACAATATGATGTCGAATGCACAAATTCATTTATTTATAACTAAAAATATTCTCAAAATTTCATTAAAAAAATGCATTTGTGACAATACCTAAATGAAATTCTTACGCAAGAAACAAAAAGTGTACAATTAACACAATTTGTGTTAATTGTACAATTATCACTATCATCGTGTCAGCGAAGCGGCAATAAAATATTTACTACCATTTTGCACAACATACCTCTGCGAGAGCGGATTTTCGGCCGTGACAAACACGATAACTAAACATTGTCACCGACTTCAACTCGAAGATGACTCGAGACTGAAGCTGACCAAAAAGCAACCAGATTTTACAAAGTTGTGCAAAGAAAATCGTGCACATTTGTC